TTCTACCTTCCAGGACTGTGGTGAGATCCCTGGACAGAGAGCTTTCTGCCTTCCAGGACTGTGGTGAGGATAAGTCACTATAAACAGTATATCATAAGCTGCTCTTGGCAACAGGAGGGGAGAGAATCTTTGCGGGTTTATGATCCTACCTTTCTCTTTGGCAGATGAAGCTCGGTGGCACAGAGAACAGTCAAGTTGCACTCAGGACTTTCCAGCAATGGTGTGTGATTAAGGAACCTGTCAGGTTAGTTGGTGAGGTGGGCTCTGGCCAAGATGAATACCTCAACAAAGAATCAGTAAGAAGTAGGGCAGAATCTAAGCTAATGTCTCTGAAAGAGTCCTTAGATTCCAGAGACAAAGGCCTGTCAATTTAAAACAAAGGCCTCCTGGGCTTTTACTTCCACTAGTCAGGGCCCTGCTGAGGGACTGGTTCAACAAGTTCAAGGTCTGATCTGGATTTGTTCCCCACTGCTGCTCTGCTATTCTGTCTTTCTTCAGTGTGACCAACCCTAAATCAGGGAAGGAAGATCCTTCAAAGACATCAAAAACAACGAAACAAAACCCACCCAAGCCTCAAGGAGAGGCCTCCCTGCTTTGTGAAGAGTCTTTCTTTCTGTGAATGTCTGTGTATGTGTATGTTCACTCTTAATAAATGCCTTCCTTCACCAGCTGATTCCGTGTGTTGCGTTTGAAGTTTTCCCTGCTGTTGTCACCCTAGAAATCTTTCCTGCCTTTTAATTTTTAGCTGGCAGAGAAAATAAGACCAATCAAGACACCAAGCTGGTAATAGATAAAACAGAAACAGGAGAAATAAAACCCAGACATTGTCCAAGCTGCCCATTCTTGTGGATGAGAGACATCACCAAGTGACCGGGTAACTAACATGGAGATTGTGCTAGGCCCAGGAATTGGAGAAGTGTGGAAAAGTGAAACTCCAATTTTAACAGGCCTGGAAGAGGGCTCCTGTGAGCTGGGTGCTAGCGTTGAATCTGAATTAAATGAATTTGCATCTTAAGAGCTGAGAGTTCTATGACAGAAAAAGCAACTTGAAAGTCAAGTATTTGATATTAATTATATATTTTTTAAATAAACAGATTTGCAAATACCTTAATACATTAATATTTTGATAAAACACTACACTTAATGCCACATGTTGTGGTGTTTACATTGGGAGAGAGTGCCAAATTATTTTAAAGATCAGAGTTGATCTTGGAATGATTAGAAGGTTCTTTTTTTTCTCCCTCAAAGTACGAAACTATAAAATTCCACACATTCAACAAAAGAAAATTATTAAGTACCTATGGAAAGCTATGACATTATACTGTGACTAAAAATTCTCGTTAAGGAAATTCTTTTTTTTCCTTTTCCTTTTCCCTTTCCCTTTCCTTTCCTTCCCTTCTTCCCTTCCCTTTTCCCTTCCCTCCCCTTTTTCCTTCCTTTCCCTTTCCTTCCCTTCCCTTTTTCCTTCCCTTCCCTTCCCCTCCCTTTTCCTTCCCTTCTCTTTTCCCTTCCCTTTTTCTTCCCTTCCCTTCCCTTTTTCCTTTCCTTTCCTTTCCTTTCTTTTCCTTTCCTTCTCCTTTTCCTTTCCTTTCCCTTTCCCTTACT